AAAAAGTTAATCTATGGAAATTGTCATCAGTTAATTATGAATCGCAATTCTTGAAATATACTTTAGGAATAATAGATGTTTGAAAAATAGTCAGTAAAAGAATAGAAGTTTCTTTCTATGTTAATAAATAAAAAAACAACAGCTTTATTCCGTATGATTTATATATTTATCGATAATCTTATGTTTTTTTTTTTTGGTAATTAGATACTTCTATTGGTGGTATTAGTCGAAAACCATCTGCATCATGGTTAATTAAAAATAATAAATTTTATTATTCAATTCCACATACACCATGTGAAGAATTTTATGATGAACTTCGTTTTGCTAAAAATGAAGTTAAAATTCGACGTAAGGTTTTTTTTTCATTTTCATAAATCTTATTATTTTTATTTAAAGGTTATCTTGGTAAAGTTTCTAAAGAACATGATAAACGTGTAAAAAAAGCAAAAAAAGAAAATGAAACACTTGAATGTAATATATGTTGTCGTGAAGATTTATTAATTGATGATATGGTTGAATGCACAGTAGGACATATTTATTGTCGGTATGTTTAAAAATTATAATATTAAATAATTCATTTGTTAATCTATTTAATTTTTTTAGGCATTGTGTTCGAACACATATTGATGTATGTTTTAAAGAAGGTAAATGTCGATTTGTTTGTGTAGAAAATTTATGTCCAGGTGAATATACAATGTCACTTGTTAGTGAACTTTTATCACCAAAAGATTTAAATCGTTTAAATAGACGAATACAAGAAGAAAATATTCGACAAGGTAAATATATATATTATTTATATTAAAATTTTAGAAATTTTTCTAAAGATAATTATAAAAAAAAATTCAATCTTATTAGTTTAATTTTGTCTATTCGTTTAGAATGCATTAAATTAGATGATACTTTGTAAGATAAACTAAATATATATATTCTATTTCTTGTGCACTTAAATACTTGTCATAAAAAGTTGCACTTCAAGAGATACGACAGTATGATGATCATATATCTTTGTATCCCTATAGAATGAAATATGAAGACAAATGAATTCTCGTTTATTATCATTGTATACGCAAATGCTAGTTTTGTTTCATATTTCTTTTGTAATTATCCTATTAATTCATTTATACTCACGAGAGAGATATTCGATCATAATAATGGACTATATGAACTGTCAATATATGAGTATAGACAGATTTCGTATCCTTCGTCAAGAATATATATATGACAATTACTATTACATTTCTATGAAATAAAAATAAAAATATGCAGACTACTTTAATATACAAGAATCAAATAAACATAATTTATTTTGCTAGAATTAATAATGTTATGAAAAATAAGAATATAATGATTAGAAGGGAAAAAACAAAATCATCAAGAGTTATGATGATTTGATAGCACATCTCGATGAGCGCTGTGTGAAATAGCAACTTCTAGCTTTTTGTTTAATTGACGGATTAAGTTTATCAATTTCTGAGAATTCAAACATGAAAATCTAAAATTCGATTTCTGAAATCTAATGAGAGTTTTTTTGGGATTTCTTCATGTTTGTAACTTATTGAAATGTATGTAATTTATTAAAAATTTTGAAAATGATTTTTTGTTTTGTTTTATTGACTTGCTTAAATTGAGTGCATTTTAATGAGAAAAGATTATTAAAAAAAAGGTCAGAAATATGTAGTTCAATAAAATTCGAAGAGTTAACTTTAAGTAGCTTTTCGATATTGATTATACGAATTAATTTATTTTAAAAACTCAATGAACTTATCCTTGAAAATTTGAGTTTTTCTTCATTTTCATGAAATTCGGAGTTGTGGTCAAATAATGAAGAGTTAAAACCGTTTTAATGAATTTTGTTTAGTGAAATCGAGACATTGCTGGAAAATCTCAAAATCAATAGTAATCTTATTATAGTGACTGCTTGTCTAAGTTTCAGAAATATTGAGATAATATAAATTATTCTGAACTTAAAATAAAATCACTAATCGAGTTAGCATGTTGCATTGACTTTGTCTAACTACTTTTTCGTGCAATCAGAGATTTCAGAAAAAAAGTCTTACAAATAGCACGACCCATGTCAACCTCACTGCTAGCGACACACATAGGTCACTGTCTGTACGCGCACGTTGCGTGACGTTCGTACGCGTACAGACAATGACTTATGTGTGTCGCTAGCAGTGAGGTTGACATGCGGAGCAGATCTCATCAAGACATCATCTGATTGGTCAATAGGTGGCCAATCAAATTTCGATATAATTTGACCATCTCAGATCTCCTCTCTTGAATAGTAAAAATCGCAGGTTTCTCTGATATTCTTATCAGAGATGTCCATCGGGACTGAAAATCTGCCGCTGCCGCATCGCAGGGATTTTGAAAAGTTGCTGCCGCGCCGCGATGTAATTTTAAAAAATATGCCGCCGCCGCTGCATAAAAGAATTGTACGAAATCATTTTTTCATAAAAATGAGTAAAATATAGGATATCGAGTTAATACTTCCTCTTGGATGAAATACTAATGTAAACAGAAATGAGAAATAGCAAAATTTGTTTACAAAAACAGCAGGTTCATTTTTTTATAGGGACCAGAGATGTTCATGGCGTTTGAAAATCTACCGCTGCCGCCACAGCGGTAGCGGTGCGACAGCGGCAGCGCCGCCATGGACGTCTCTGATTCTTATCAATGATTTTTCAAAAAACAGTAGAAAATGTTATGTTTTGAAATCAGTTGTAGTATATGAAATCGAATAGTTCCTCATCTTTAGACGTATACCCTAATGAAATCTGTTTCTTCTTACCATTCATATGTATATATGTTTCTTTTTAGCTGAAATTGATGGACTTGAATGTTGTCCATATTGTCCATATGCTGTTATTGTTGATAATCCAGATGATAAAATATTTCGTTGTTTAAATCCAGAATGTATGAAAGAAACTTGCAGGTATTTTTTTTTATCTGATTAGTATATATGTTTGTTATTTTTTATTTGTTTATAATTAAGGTTATGTAAAGAGCCTAATCATATCCCATTACGATGTCATGAAGTTGAAAAAGGTGTTGAACTTGAAATGCGTAAATTTATTGAAGAACATGTAACAGAAGCTATGATACGTAAATGTCCTCGATGTACTCAAGTATGAATTTGATATTTTAATAATTTTGTTATTAATCAAATATTTTTCATTTTTTTTGTTTTTCTAATTATAGAGATTTTATAAAGTTGAAGGATGTAATAAAATGACATGTTCATCATGTGGTTTATTTATTTGTTATGTTTGTCGTGAGACAATAAATGGTTATGATCATTTTACAAATAATGAAAGGTAATATTTAATAAAATCATAAGAGGAAAAAAAAAACATATATTGTTACTATTGTCCTTTTCTTAAGATGTACATTATCAAATCAAAGTGAAAAAATTCATTATGAAGAAATGTTAGAAGCATATAAAAATGCTAAAAATGAATATCTTCGTTTACATCCTGAAGCACATGATATGATACTTCGTTATGATCCAATATCACATTTATCTAAACCACCTATTTCATCTACAAGTGCTAGTTGATTAACAATCAATAATCTACAAAAAATTTATATCTTCCATTGACATTCCGTTCTTTAAACAATACACAATAAATATCGATTTCGATTTCTTTTAGTCATCGGCTCTAATATACATTTGATAATGTTCGATTTTTGTTTTACTTTCTTAAACGAAGATAATATTATGCAAGAAAAAAAATCAAACATTACTATTTCTTTACTTATCTTTTTTTCTCTCGTTTTTCTTTCTGATACTTTTCTATATTGTTCAATTATATTTAGAAACAAAAAGAGAAATTTTTCTTATTCTTGTTTTTCTGTACTTATTCTTTTCGACTGGTTTTCTTTTTTTTCATTCAAGTACAAAACTTATAAATATATATATGAATTTAACGAATATGAAATATATGATACAAGAAAACAAAGGGATTAAATCAAAGTATGAATATTCACATTCTTTTTTTTGTTCCTAAAATTTGATCAATTTGCGTAAATTACATATTTGTTTGTTAGTAATGAAGTTAAAATGAAATTCAATGTTGATATCAAATGTCATCATTGTACATACACCAGAGATGTCCATCGCGGCTGAAAATCCGCCGCGGCCTTAGAAAAAAAAGCTGCCGCACCGCTGCCGCGCCGCGACGGTTTATAAAAAAATGTTGCCGCGACGCTGCCGCATCGCGATGACTTATAAAAGAAACGCTGCCGCGATGAATTATAAAATAAACGTGCCGCTGCCGCAACGGTTTTCAAAAAAGTGTTTCTAATTTCACTGCTGTGACTATATTTGACCAGAGATATGAGAACTAGTCCATCAGATTTATTCAATATCAGGGCGTTTCATTTGTAAATCCTGAAATTCTATTAAATTCATACAGTTTTTCAATGTCCTCCAAAAAAACTCCTGCCGCTACCGCGCCGCTGCCGCGATGACTTTTAAAAAAATCTGCCGCGGTGATTTTTTAAAAAACCTGCCACTGGCGCGCCGCCACCGCCACCGCGGCAGCGGCACCGCCGCGATGGACATCTCAGACATACACATACATTAATATTCATTTTCCGCTCTATCTATTTAATTATTTTATCATATGGTTTCTTGTCATCCATAGATGCATTTTCATTGAAAACAAATTCGTTTTTTTCACATTCTGTGACTCGTTGTTAAGTACAATGAATTCGCTCAATCATGATTGAATTAATTTTCATTCTCATGCTTTCATATATATTTGTAGTTCAAAAAAAGTAAACATATTTTGAAATGCTGATATCTTATATAATGCCAAACCCGATCCTATGTTGCAGATTACTGATAGAAATAATCATAAATCGGGTTCTTTATAAAAAAAAACTTATTATATGTAGTTTACATTTAATATGAGATAATATACTATTCAATAATTAATTGTAGAATTAGATATATTATTTTATTTTAATTCAAAAAAATTGAACAAAAACCAAATTTATTTCATAGAACAAGGTTGTACAGAATTTTTTTTGTCTTTTTTCTCATTAAAAAATTTAAATCCAGTTATTATTAATATACTTGTTAATACAAGAATTGATCCAAATATTGATAATAAGTTTGATTTTACTGATGAAAAAATATTTTGTAATAGTATAGAGAATAAAATACCACAGGATTGAGTTATTGTGAATATGGATGGATGTTCACGTTTAATCGCTTTTTGTACTAATATTAATGCAAGCATATGTGATAAACAAATGAATGAAGCAACTAAATATCTCCAATTGAAAAAGTCATTTTTAAATGTTTGTATTGTATCAATAAAAAAATTATACTTATAAAAGACATTAGCAACTAACATAAGTAATGTTAGAAATGCAAAATGAAATATTATTAAGCTTTGTTTTGTTTTATATTTCGAAAATAAATATTTATTTGATACTACCATTATAGATAATACGATTGCAGCATAGAATGCAATACATACACCTATTAAATGTTGATAATAATCATTTGATGTATTATTTTTATTTATATTTGATGTTTTACTAAATAAGAAACTTGGTTGAGCAACAAATATTACACCAATAGTTGTTAATAAAATTGATATTATCATTGATATAGATGGTTTTTCACGATAGATAATTGAAGTCATAATTGCTGTCCAAATAATTTGTGTAAAACGTATTGTTGTTAAATCTGGCAATATTAAATAACGAAAAGCAAGTAAAAAAGTAAACGCACCAGTTGAATAGCAAAAAGCATGGATGCATAAAATTAATATTTCTTTTTGATTTGCCTGTTTATATAATGAATGATGTTTTATAAATTTCATATAGATAATCAAGATGATGCTATGCAATAGATAACAGGGAATTAATGCATCAGATGCATCTATTTTAATTTCTTTTGTTATAAATAATGAAACTGTAACAATAAATGTTGCTAATAATGAATAAAGTATCCCTAATAAACGCGTTACTATAGTGTGAGATAACTCAGGAGGTTTATCGCTATGTACTGTAACAATTGGTTCTATTAATAAATCAGTTGACTGTTCATTGTTAATATCATCTTTGACTTCAATTTCAAATTGATTTTCAATCGTCTTCAACTCAATTGTTGAACTAAAAATAATATTTGATAAGAATTAGTACAGTTACATATTATTATGTGAGGGAATAATTTTTCATAGTTTTCTATGAGACTTAATCTAGACATAAAGTGATAGTAAATTTGAAGATAAGTACTAGAAAATTTATTTTCATTTTTTAATTTTGAAAAAAAAAGAACTTTCATATTGTTAATTATCTTGTAACAACTATAGTTATATTATCGAATTTTTTTCCAAAAAAAAAACGAATCTTACACCGAGAATATATGGAATTTTCTGATCCTCTCGTTGTCTTTGCTGAATTGGAGAAAATTCGTTGAACTTTGGCAAATGTTCTATTAATGAGAGTCTTATTAACAAAAATCAGACTAATCAAAAGACGTTTTTAATATACGTTAGATCAATAACATCTCGCTATTGATCTATGAACTATTTTCTTACTGGATTTCTATTAAATAATTGATATACATGATTTATTTGTAGATAATGCATTATAGAATTCTCAACAGCTGCTCTTTCGAAAATGCTAATTAAAACAAATCTAACTTGAAAGTTTCGTAAAAAAATACTTTAAGAAAGTCCAACTAAGTCTTCGAATATCTAAATGTGTCTAACCCTTCTTTTTTTCCTGAACATTTATTATGAGTGGCTCTTTTCTTGCATACATGAAAATAAGACAGTTTTATTACCTATTCTTATCCATTGATGATATTATGTTAGCAAAAAAGTTAAGATAAAAACATAATGATTACTTTATATATTTTCAAGGTTAAATGGTCCAATAATCTAACACATGGTTACGGTTGTTTTTTTTTTCTTTTTTTCTCTCTATAACATAATTATGAGAGTGATCCAGTTTAATACTCTATTTATTTATTTTTATTGTCTTAAATTATTGATTATTATAATGAAATATTTCATATAACTATAAGAAGCAAACAAGATCATTTATGAAAATAATTTATATAGTTATATTTTAATATTTTGAAATATTTTTCTCAAATTATTACGAAAACAAACAAAACAACTATTCATCCTTTATAAATGAGTAGTTATTTTCCAATTATATGAACGATGGATAGAAAGAAAAATACAGAATACGAAACAAATCATAAAAAGATGTAGATTTGTTTTTTTTGTTTTGTAAAATCTGAAATCATAAACATTCAAATCAAAACCAAATAAAGTAATTTGAATAGTCAATAAACTTTTCTATTCAAAACTATTCGATATTGAGATTTCCTAGATGAACCTTAAGAATAGAATTTTGTAAAAGAAAAGTAATCAATAGTAGTCTTCATGTTTCAAAAGGCTTTTTATGAATTATTGTTTTGTTTTTTTATTAATATTATTTTAAGGCAGATAAAACGTAGTTTTTAAGGGTTTGATGAGTTTTGCATTTATTCGTTTTTTTGTCCTACTTATAATATTTAAAGGTGGACTTGACCTTCGCTGGATGTGTATTGTTTTTTTAGCGATTATGTAGAGAAAATGACACTGCATGACCTCTTCAATTTTTTCGGCTATTTATCAATATAGAATTTTAAAAAAATTTTCAAGTAAAAGATTTCCGCTTTCAGGAAAATAGTAATTTTCGTATTGAGTGCATTTTTATCTGTCGAAAAATATTTTCTAAAAATAAAACCTTACCTCAAATTTTGAATCTAAAGTCGATTATGATAGAAAATATTTTATAGTAGACAAGTGTGGCATCAAAAGCTACATGTAGTGACCGAAACCGAATTTTTATTTTGACTAAATTTCCAATAAAAAAAAAACAAACTTAAACGAATATCTTGTATATGTTGCAACAGCCATTAATCAGAAAAAATAGTTTTCTTTTTTATAACTAAGGTCATTTTTCGGTACGCTTTTTAATTTGCAGATAAAATAAATGATTTTGAATAATACACTAATGAAAATATTGGTTAAATAGACACAAAACTACACTTGAAGAATAATGTGTTTAGGAGTTTTTGGAAGTGGGATGGATTTTTGTGGCATTAGAAAATATATGTTTTTTGTAGCTTTTTGAATTTCGTATCGAATAACATATAAGAAAACGTACCAAAAATAACCTTTGTTGTAAAAAACAAGAAAAGCATTTTTCTGTTAAATGTCTTTCACAAGATATATGAACACTCATTAGTTTTTTTTTTGTTAGAAACTTTATCAAAATGAAAATTCTATTCTGCTCACTACACCTAGCCTTTAATGGTACATCTTTCTACTATAAAATATTTACCATCATAATGTTTAATTAGTTAAGGAGAAAATATAAAATATGTAACGAATTCTTATTTTAATTAGAACTAAAGTGGCACTAGTAAAATTTGAGCACAATCCATAAGAGATTAAAATGTGAAACATGACGTAGTTGCTGTCGTTATTTATAGAGAAATTCTTTATTTCATGTGTCTTGGACCGCATTTCTTTATCTTTCTTTCACTCAATTCTTCAAAAATACATCTAAAATGTACTTAATACATTGTGAATGTGGATGAAGAGAAGATTGTAGTACTCACACTCGTTTTTTTTTCCACATGACGAGGGTACATATTCAATGATCGGACTTCGTTCGATTACATTTTGTAACTACGAAGTACGTTTTGGAGTGAAGTTCAAGAGGATTCGAGTTCATGACTAATTAATGAAAAGTTATGGCCGTTTTGATGATTTTGTATTGCTAGAAATAGGACATTATCGGAAACTTAAAACAAATAATGCTGATCTAAAATTTTGTCTATAAACAGATTTAATAGTCATTAGATCATTACGAAAGTTTCAACTAAAATAAACATACAATGGAACATACAGTAATCGAGTATATTTAAAAGTAGAATGTCTCTATTAAGACATGATCGCTTTCGTTGAAGCTTTTAGTACTATTAAATGACTTATAAATTTGTCTATAGACAAAATATCAAATGAAGACGCTTTACTTTGTTTTTATCGAAAATGTTTTGCTCTCAGTAAAAATTTCCAGCGAACGGCTGATATTCATCTCAAAAATATGTTGTGTTTCACCTATTTTAGAATAACTTTTGATAGAAATATTATTGATGACTTGCGATTTTCATTGTGCAAGAGAGAAGATCTGTAATCATCAGTGATGGGACCGATTCGGTTCCAAATATTCGGAACCAATTACATCTAAATATATATTCTAACATATTCCCTAGACTGAAAGGCTAGGGTGTAGAAACCTAAATTTTCTGTGTTTGGATCGGTGACGTCTGTGTTTGCATCGGTGACGTCTGTGTTTGGATCGGTGACGTCTGTGTTTGCATCGGTGACGTCTGTGTTTGGATCGGTGACATCTGTGTTTGCATCGGTGACGTCTGTGTTTGGATCGGTGACGCCTGTGTTTGGATCGGTGACATCTGTGTTTGGATCGGTGACGTCTATGTTTGCATCGGTGACATCTGTGTTTGTATCGGTGACGTCTGTGTTTGGATCGGTGACATCTGTGTTTGCATCGGTGACGTCTGTGTTTGGATCCGTGACATCTTTGTTTGAATCGGTCGCAGAGGTTGTTTGTGCATTTTGATCTGGTCTTCGAGGTAAATTTGGCCTTTTGGTGGATTTTCTAGCTACATGCTCGATTCTATTGTTTGCCATTTTTTTCTAGCTAATTTTCAAAATATCGTAAGCTTTTTCTGTCTTTTAAATATCAGTCTTCCCTGATCTGATTTCAGTTTTCGTGTTTTATCGCGCTTTTTTCTTAATTTCACTTTCGAGTATCTCATTATAAATAATTTAGTTTTCTTTGAGTATGTTTACTTGAATACAATATTGTGGCGAAATAACGGTGCCAACTCGTCGCCCACCGATCTTAACTCTTCCAGTAACATTCACGATTATATGAAAATGGATATCCGCTTGTCGACTTCTACCAACCGAATGCGAGCTTTTCGTGCCCGTCGTGCTCTCGTTGAGACTGCTGAACAGAAAGAGAGTCGCCTGGCTATTGACAGACAATACAGAAAACAGCGATTGATCGATTTTGGTGTCAAAAAAACAGTCGAAGAAAAGCAAACGCATCTTATATCACGTAGCCAATACGAAGTGAAACGTCTAGCCGATAAACGTGCAAAAGAAAACGCAAAGGAGAGAGAAGAACGTCTTACAGCCAAACGTGCTAAAGAAATGAACCGCCGACACAACTTACGAGCGCGCGAGACTGATGCGGAGCGAAATACTAGATTAGAACGTGATCGTGATCAACATCGGTAAGACTCATAGTTTCTTTGTTTTTTCAACCAAACATTCCTTTCTTTTCGACTCATAGGGCGAAAACACGTGCGAAAAATGATTCAAATATGGCAACTGACCGAAACTGCGCTGTATGCGGCTATAAAATCCTGACTCAAAATTGGTCACAATTAACTATCAGATCGTTTCCGAACCTGCATCTTCTTCGACCTCAGAGCGACGAGATATCGAATTCTGTTTTGAAAATTAATTTTTCACGATTTACCAGTAAGGATCTTTATTGATCGGAAATCATCATTTTGAAACGTTTTCTAACTCAAAATAGGCTATGTTCGACGAATGTTAGAAACTTTCTCTGGTTTCGATGTTCTCGTGAATGGAGCACTGTTAGGACGATGCGGGATCGATACGAAAACTGGATTGATGGTTGTGTGCCGTGGTTGCCAGACCTCTTTACAAAACAATGCTACGCCTGCGTCGGCTTTGAGCCGCCTATACTCTCCAGATGATGTTTTGGATGATGAATAACTTTTGTAACATATATAAAATTGACGTTGGTTAATATTTTTAACCTGTTCTAACATAAAGACGAAACATCTCCGTATTTAACTCTAAATTCCTTTTCAGTTGGTCACTTAATAATATCCTAACTATGAACGGTAGAAAGACTTCATGGTTTCCATGAATGCCATCAGTGCTCAAAAACTGAGCTACGAAAGCTTAGTAATTAGTTCTTTTTAAATTTCTTGTTTCAAAATCTCCAGTTCCTTGGTCATTCAAATAGATTCAACACTCAACAGTCTACGGTAAAGTGAATCTGCATTCGATGAATATTATTTCTTTTTTTACAACTTTTAGATATTTATGTTTCTGTTCTTTGTAGTTCTGACTTCTAACCTTTAAATTGCTTTTATTTTGAACTGATTTCTAATTATGAAGTTTAAAAACACTCAGCTTTTCTCTTGTAGCACATCTTTGGATTTCAGTGAGAGATGTACCCTTTGATAGTCTCATTTACATATCTAGTCACATCACATTTCATCGCCTTTTAGTCTAGGGATGAGTGAATCGGAATCCGATGAACGTTACTTGTTTGTTAACTTGTCCACTTAAAGTGAATGAAGAAAGCATAGCACATTTTTATTGTTTACTTATCTGTCCTTGACACTGAATGACTAATGAAAACGCAATGAGTTGTTCTTGATTAACAAAAAGATTGGCTAGCCACTAAAAATACGCTACAGTCTTTTCCGATGAGAAAATATTTCTAACATAAAAACGAAAATACCTATGTTTTTAACATTGTATGCAGCTCGTTTTTCTAGATCACTCTTAGAACTATCGAAAGCATTATAAGCATGTCTTTAATAAATTGTTGTAAGTGAATATTATGAAATTTTCTTTATTTTTTTTAATCGGTTCGGTTCCAAAAAAACACGAACCAATCCTATCACTGGTAATCATTGAAGTATATCGAAATTTGATTAGTTATGAATTGATCAATTCGATGAGTTCTCAATGGAGACTTTTGAAAACGATACTTTGAAGCAATTTTTCTCTTTCTGTTAACGCAAGACAACATGTTCAGCTTGTTTCATTCGATAGTTATAAGACTTTTCGAGAGATTCTGGATTTCGGTCAACACAAATATGATCACTCATAATAGTAGCTATTCTGAGGTGTCTTATCAAACCAAGTCGAATTAAATGAAGATTGATTGTAGAATTTCAGAAGTACTGAGAATAACATAGATTTTTTTGAACTTAAACACAAATATTACCAGCTGAAATTACTTCTATCTAGCTGCTTTTTCAGGTGATCATAGATCCATTAAATGAAATTAGAGGTCGCAGGAAAATTCTTATCACTCTCGAACGAAAAAAGTTTATTTAATTGTTATGTTACATCGTAAAATAATAAATGATCATGAACATATTACGAATGATGAGAGATTATATTTAATAAAAAGTAACGAAACATTGCTACTCTTCTTTTTCCAAATAGATGTACACATAGATCGTTTTTTTCTTACCGAAGATAATAACACACTCTTTCTGCTTCCAAAATCTGATCAATTTGTGTAAATTACACGTTTGTTTGTTAATGATGAAGTTGAAATGAAACTCGATGTTGATACAAAACTTTATCATTTTACATACACATATATTGATACTTTAACATAATTCATTTTCTTCTCTATCGATTTACTTATTTCGTTCCTGATCATCCATAGACATATTTTCATTGAAAACGAATTCCTCTAGTAAAGCACAGTCGTTTTTCACTTCTATCGCCTGTTCTCTAACATAAGAAACTATTCAATCATGATCGAACTAATCTTCATTTCCATGCTTTCATATATATTGCAGTTGGAAAAGTAAAGATATTTCGAAATGCCGAGATGTTATATATTTCTGGATGCGATCTTAAATTCGCACCCAATCTATCTTCAGGATACTAATAGAGACAATTAATAAGAAACTTTTCTATGAAAAAATTTACGTTTAATTCTTTTTTATATATAGTTTACATTTAACAAGAGATTATATACTATTCAATAATTTATTGTAGAATTAGATATGTTATTTTATTTTATTCCAAAAGTATGCATGCAATAGTAAACTTATTTATTAGGATACAGTTGTACAGATGTTTTTTTTTTGTTTTTTGTCATCAATAAATTTAACTCCAGTTATTATCAATATACTTGTTAAAACAAGCATTGAGCCAAGTAATGATAAAACGTTTGATTTTACTGATGAAAAAATATTTTGTAATAGAATAGAAATTAAAATACTGCTTGATTGAACTATTGTAAATATTGATGGATGTTCACGTTTGATCCCTTTCAGTATCAATGTCAATCCAAGTATATGTAATAAACAAATTGATGACGCAAATAAATATCTCCAATTGAAAAAGTCATTTTTAAATGTTTGTATTGTATCAATAAAAAAATTATATTTATAAAAGACATTAGCAACTAGCATACATAATGTTAGAAATACATATTGAAATAGTATTAAACTTTGTTTTGTTTTATATTTTGATAATAACTGTTTATTTGATATTACCGTTATAGTCATTGCTATTGCAGCATAGAATGCAATACAGACACCTATTAAATGTTGATAATAATCATTTGATGTATTATTTTTATTTTTATTTGATATTTTATTAAATAAAAAACTTGGTTGAGCAACAAATATTACACCAATAGTTGTTAATAAAATCGATATTATCATTGATATAGATGGTTTTTCACGATAGAGAATTGAAGTTATAATTGCTGTCCAAATGATTTGTGTAAAACGTATTGTTATTAAATCTGGCAATATCAAATAACGATAAGCAAAATAATAAGCATAAAGACCAGTTGTAGAAAAAAAAGCCTTGATGAATAAAAAAAATATTTCTTGTTTACTTAATTGTTTACATAGTGGATAATGTTTTATAAATTTCAGATAGATAATTAAGATGATGCTATGCAATAGATAACAGGGAATTATTGCATCGAGTACATCTACTTTCAATTCTTTGGTTATAAATACTGAAATTGTGAAAATACATGTTGAAAGTAATGTATAAAATATTCCTAAGAAGCGTGTTGCTACTGTTGGAGATACTGGAACAGGTTTATCGCTATGTACTGCAACAATTGGTTCTATTAATAAACCAGTAGACTGTTCATTGTTAATATCATCTTTGACTTCAATTTTAAATTGATTTTCAATCATCTTCGACTCAATTATTGAACTAAAAATAGTATTTGATAAGATTAGTACAGTTACATGTTATTATATGAGGGCATAATCTGTCATAGTTATATATGAGACTCAATCTTGTCATAAATTGATCGTAAACTTGAAGATAAGCACCAGAAAAAATTTTTTTTTCTTTCTCAAAATAAGTTCTCATATTTTCGTTGTTGGTTTTATTTGCTTAATGTCTTTTTATAGCAATTGTTATATTATTCAGGTTTTTTGAAAAAGAAGCCCTTCACGAATAATATGTAGAATTTTATGATCCTCTCATTGTGAAGACAAATATCATATGCACTTCCTCTCATGGAATTTTTGCTAGAGTATATGAACATAAATCAGTTTTATTACCTATTTTTATCCATTGATGATATTGTGTTAGTAAGAAGTTAAAAAACATAATGATTGCTCTACATATTTCTTAGGTCAAACAGCTCGATAACCTAGCACATGATTATGGTTGTTTTTTTTTCTTTTTATCACGTAGAAACCGAACACATTCATTATCACAATTGTCGATTTATTCATTCTTATTATCTTAAGTTATTGGTCGTTACTCATCAATATCCATATAACTATAGTAGGCAAACAAAATCATTTACGAACATAACTTATAAAGTTATATTTCAATATTTCATCCTTTACAGAAGAATAGTAGATTTCTTTTGTATGAACAATAGATAGAAAGAAAAAATATGTTCGATTGATTTTCAACAGGTAGAGATAGTCATATAAGTTATAGCAATTTTATTGTTTTCTAAGAGTATAGAAAACTAAATACTAATAAGTATTTATCATTGATGATTTGAGACAATAGTGCCTACGATTAATTATTTTTTTCAAAATCAGATATGAAATCAATAATGAGGACAACAATCAACCAAGGCAAAATAACTATGCTTGACAAATACAATACAATTCAATATAGAATATGATACAACATAATCAAAAAAATATGTATTTGATTCGTTTTAAGTCTATAACCATAAATATTTATCTCAAAACTAAATAACCATTTAAAATCGATAAATACTACTTTTCATGTCTTACAAGTCTTAGTATGCATTATTTTATTTAATAAAATTATTTTCAAGAACATCAAATGAGGGAATACCGCATTTTCTACGAATTTCTCATGATCATCTGAAATAGCAGCTACATAGAGGTAGTTCTTCATATTGAGTGAAATGGTGTTATTCATTTTTAGAGTCAAACTCATCTGATACAGTTATCTCAATATTTCTGACATTTTACCATCAACCTCTTCCTAGTTGAGAATTCCTAAACAAATCTCTGGGGAGTCCCACACTCACCCTCGGTCACTGGTGGAATCCCTGTCATGATTCCCCAGGGACCTTGAGGGGATTTTATAATGAGATTTTACTAGGGGTGGATATTATGATAAGAACGTCGTGTGTGATCATTTGCAGTCGTCGTAAGTCTCATGGTATATTCCAGGGGAGTCTCTGGCAAATCCTCAGGAATTCTCCTAGCAAATCCCTAGGAACTCCCACATAAATTCCTGGGAATTTCTTGACTCTGTCGTAAATCCATAGAGAACCTTGTCGGGATTCCCGAGGGATCAGCGCTGAAACTGGACCGGTTTGGAAAATCTACCGGCCCGGAAATTCACCGGTTGAAAATTAAAAATAACTATCTTCATTTTCTCTGTTTTTTGTAAAAAAAATGCTATTTTTGGTTTTTTCCATCAAGTATGAAGTTGATGAAATGGTTTCCCATCGATATACAGTATATATATATCTTAATACCATTATTATTAACATTGGAATAAAATCGACTATTTTTTTTCCAATATGATTGTCTATTGTTGTATATCTCATCTTTTGTTTATATTTTTTATTTTTTATTTTGTCATTTTGTTTTTTTGAGCAATGATGAAAAGACGATTTGATAATACAACATGAACAAGCATAAATGATACTAGAAAAGCAGAGTACTGAAAACTAATTTTCGATTTTGCATATCCTTTTAAGTCGGTAAATGTACCAAGAAACAATAGACACTATCACGCAAAACTTCATCATACTCTCGAGATATTATTCACAAAATTAAAATGTTCCATGTCTCACAAACATCAGGAATATCTTTTCTAGAATCTCACTTCAAGTTTTAATTATACTTGGTCAAGAATTGAAATTCTTCAAATTATATTTCTAAATACTTTTCTTAGGATCCAATGAGAAAACTATAAATCGTAATCTGTCTGAATGTATGCTGTCAAGAGTAGAATTTGACTTCATCATTTTTCCACTTGTTTTCCAGTATCTGGGACGATTTTGACGCAGTCAGTTATACGGTATGCCGTCCGGTTTGCCGGAATTTCACTGATTCAAGAGCATTCTGTAATCGGACCGGACCAAACCGGTTTTTCGATTTCTTACCGGTTCCAGCTCTGCGAGGGATTCATTTAGGGATTCTCGACTAGAGCTAGCTAATGAATAAGTAGACATTTCAGAAGTATTGAGAAAACAGTCTCTGATAAGTTTGAACCTATAATCAAAAAGTACCATCAGACACAAAATGATGAATTATACCTACCTAGGTTTGTTTTTAGTGTTGATTATAGCTCAATCAGAAATCTCAAGAACACTCTTTTCACTTTCGAATCGAACAAGTTATGAATGTCCACTTTGTGTAGATTAAAAGGGATGAATTTTTTTTTATCGAGTAGTCCAATTAAAAATCTAAAGCGAAAAGAAAATAGCTTCGATATCGTTTTCGAAAACCTTCACCAAGAATTCATATGATTGGTTGATTGGTAACCAATCGAATCTCAACATACTTTGGTGGTCTTGGATCTGCTCTTTTGAGTGTTAAAAACCGCAGATGTCTTTGATATTCCTATTGAAAGTAATGCAAAACAAACAGTGGAACATATTATATTTTGCAATGAGTAGTAATGGATGCAGTCGAACACCTTCCCATTATTGGATGTATTCCCTTATGAAATCTTTTTTGCGGTACCATTCTTGCGCCTGTATTTTTTTTTACTTGAAATTGATGAACTTGAGCGTCTTGGATTGGAGCTGATCGAGATTCGGCCAATACTTTCACAACTTTAACATAGTTTTCAAACTTTTACTTCATATGAAAGAGTATTCTTTTTAGTTTCTTTCAAAGTTAGAAACAAAAAGAAAGGATCATCTTAAATTTCACAAACAATGAAGTGATTCAGAATGCATTTTGTGCTTTTCTGCTTCTAAAATCTGGCGAATTTTCTTAAGTATAGGTTTATTTTGTAGCTAAAAATGCTAAAATAGAACTCAATGTTCATGTCAAACGTCCCAATTATGAATATATAGATGAATACTTTCTACATCACGATACTACGTGTTAACCTTTTCATTAATTTATTTTTCACTCCATGTATTCAATTACTACATCATATAGCACTTTATCATCTTTAGATCAATTTTCATTAATAATAGAATCGATTTTCATTCCAATGCTTATATATGTATCTAGTAGTTTGCAAAAGTAAACATTTTTTGATACGTCAAGATTTTAACCCTTAAAAGCCGAAGGGGGTTCCCATGACAATTTGAAAAAAACCAGCCATCGGAACTGAGCTTCTGAGTCATCAGTATGATTATATTATAGTAAAAAAAAGTTTATTTTTTCTTATGGAGATACAGAATGTCCCTTGGAAGGAACAGTCAGTCGTAACGGTCCAAAATTTTTCACTATTCTGAGTTCATATAAAAAAGAGTTTTTGCTTTGAAGTAATTTTACTTATTTGTTTGTTATTACTCAAAAAAAAAGAATTGAAGCAATATTTTACACTTTTTCAAAGCTTACACACTCTCTGTTTCAATATAAGGCTTGCTCGAAATGTGTTGGCTCGTTAAGACCGAGTGTCCTTTCCAAGAGACATTTTCTTCATGATGTCATAATGCATCAACAAATCGGTTAAAAAACTCAGAGATGGTCTCATTCGATAGCCTAATGCTGCGCCTTGCGATGGCACTAAAAAAATAGACTTTCGCACTGTATTAATAAATGAGCAAAAGTTTTAAAGTAAAAAAAATAACATTCAAAAAATTATGTCTTTAAAAACTCATTGTTTCGGTTAACAGGTACTCAAGACTGATCTTTTTCTCTTTTCATGATCTATCAATTCATCTTAGTCCAAGAAAACACTGGATCTTGTATATGAAGTTGTATTACATGTTTTATTGAGATTTTTCCAATGCCCCTTGGAAGGAAAATTCGGCTTTTAAGGGTTAAATTCGATCTGACTCGGTAAGTTTACATCCGCACTTGGTGCTAGAGCCAACACAACGAGTTTCTACCTGGACATTTGATCTAAGTCGATTCGGGTGCCATATATCCGCACAGATTGGAGCATACTAATAGAAACAATAAATAATGAACTAAATTAATTAGAATATTAAGTATTTTATTTTATTTTAATACGAAAAATACACAAAATCAAAACTTATTCAGTAGAGCCTAGCTGTTCTGATTTTTTTTTGTCTTGTTTTTCATCAAAAAATTTAAATCCAGTTATTATTAATATACTTGTTAAAACAAACATCGAGCCAAGTAATGATAATAAATTTGATTTTACTGATGAAAAAATATTTTGTAATATAATGGAAAATAAAATACTACTAGATTGAAGTATTGTAAATATCGCTGGATGTTCACATTTAATTCCTTTCTGTACTAACAAATATGCAAATATTTGTAATAAACAAATTGATGACGCAACTAAATATCTCCAATTAAAAAAGTCATTTTTAAATGATTGAATTGTATCAATAAAAAAATTATATTTATAAAAGACATTAGCAACAAACATCCATAATGTTACAAATGCAAATAAAAACATTATTAAACTTTGTTTTGTTTTATATTTTGATAATAAATGTTTATTTGATATTACCGTTATAGCCATTGCTATTGCAGCATATAATGCAATAAATATACCTATTAGACGTTGATAATAATCATTTGATATATTATTTTCATTTGTATTTGATATTTTACTAAATAAAAAACTTGGTTGAGCAACAAATATTACACCAATAGTTGTTAATAAAATCGATATTATCATTGATATAGATGGTTTTTCATGATAAAGAATTGAAGTTATAATTGCTGTCCAAATAATTTGTGTAAAACGTATTGTTGTTAAATCTGGTAATGTTAAATAACGATAAGCAAGAAAAAAAGCAAAACCACCAGTTGCAGAGAAAAAAACATTGATGAATAAAAAAAATA